AGGCCTTAAGCAAGCCCTTACCCTATACCCGGGCTTCCAAAAGCATCTGGAGACTGCGCCCACGCGCCAACCCGAATTATTTAAGCGTTTCTCTCAGAGTCTTGGATGCGCATGGCAGCCGTAAAAAAGCTAAGTACCAGTCACCCGGAAGGAGTCGGGCCTTGGCACTAGGCCCGATATTGCACCGTCATTCTTCAAGGCACCCCGAGCCTGAACTCTCAACCCAAAGGTTTAGGGTTTAGGGTTTGGGGTTTAGGGTTTAGGGTTTAGGGTTTAGGGAATCCAAATCCTCAGCCCAACGAAGCCTTGACTTCAACGCCCGAAGGATAGGTATCGGTGGATCCTGAACCCGAAACCTTAAACTCCGAAGCCCTAAACCCTACACCCGTAATCCCAAACCCTCACCCCTAAGCCCCAAGCCCAATACCCTAAAACCCCTACACCCGTCATCCTAAACTCGAAAGCCTGAACCCCAAAGCCCTGGTTCGGGTTTTCGAGCCCGCCCTCTTCCCTGCAACTCAGCTCACCACGACAACACCCAAGGCTTCCAAAAACCTTACATCTAAGGGGTTTAGGGTTTCGGGGTTAGGGTTTAGGGTTCAGGGCTGCAGCCCCAGAACAGTAGACCCATTCCCTCGCCGGCGTATTTAGGATGCAATGGCTCTGAAACCCTAAGCCATCTACCGTAAAGCACTAGACCCTGCACTTCGGGGTCTCTTGGCTTATGCACCCTCAAGCCCGAAAGTTCACTGGCACGAAGCTCCGCGTCTTGGGATGGAAAAGGGGGTCCATGTTGAGGCGACAAATTGGTCTTCCGATTCGAGGCCACCGAGAGGGCGGGCGTGTCGTGAGGATGTCGCATTTCAAGGTTTAGGGTAGGGTTAAGGTTTGGGATGTAGGATTCGAAGGAGATCAACCCAAATCCCAGGTTCGAAATTAAACGGAGAATAGCATTCGCAAGAGGACTAGTAATGAGCAAGCGCTGTGCATGGCCAACCGCGATCATTCTGGCGGAACCCATTATTGAGGCCTCAGCGTTGGCTTGTGCGACTCACGAAGTCCGATCTTCGTTGCGTCGCTGCCGTTTGGCTCTTCCAGGATTAGGTGCCTGAGGCCACTGCATCACGAGGTGACTTCCGACGCTCTCCTTTGAGATCTTCGCTTCGCAGCCATGCGTGAGGCAATCTGCATCCACATCGGACAGGCGCGGGTTGAAAATCCAGCCTGGCCAAACTCTGTAGGATCAGTGCATGGTGTGTTGACGAAACTTCCTGCTGCATTCTCAGCTCGGTTCGAGTTTGACATGACTGTATCCGCAATCTTGAAGTCTCGAAGGGCGGCGTCCAGATCGGCAATGCTTGCTGGGAGCTCTTCTGCCTCGAGCACGGCATCCAACCCGATGGACAGATGCCCTCGGACAAGACGAGCCTTGGGCGAGTTCGAGCTGGTTGAGATAGAATAATACAGCTAGTAGTAGAAGGGCAGCAGCAGCAGGAGTAGTAGTAGTAGTAGTAGTAGTAGTAGTAGTAGTAGTATTGATAGTACAAGTAGTAGTAGCAGCAGCAGCAGCCGTAGCAGTAAAAGTAGCAGTAGCAGTAGCAGTAGGAGGGCAGTAGTAGTAGGAGTAATCGTCGTCTTCGTCGTCGTTGTCGTCGTCTTGATCGTTGTCGTTTTGCAGTTTGAAGAAAGGCTGTTATTCATATCTGTGGATAGGACAGACTACAATCATTACAACAACAGGAACCGCATTATGGAATCTTATAGCGCGAAATCAACACTTTCATGTTGCTAATGTGTTCCTTTCATGATTGTAGGTATGGTGCTCGTTCCCCAGTATCTGCAATACCACTTGTGACTTTTGAACATGGCGCAACGCTGAACACGCTGTGAACTCGACAGAGCGCCTAGCTCAGGATCGGCGGTGGAGACGCATCTCAGCCATGTTTTGAAAGAAGGGTGACATCGTATTATCTGAATCCATAGTGAAGTGCGCCCAAAGAGCCGAAGAGCCATGGTGACAGCTCTTGAGTGGGATGCACGCACACACACACACACATTGAGTTCGATCGATTTACAATGCCCTCTGACAGTAATCGGCAACCTTCCCTGAGCAAGGTTTTTTGAATCTGGGGGTGGGGGTTACCTCCAACTGCGCACTGCGGTACCCAGGAGTGTAACAGATGGGGGCTTTTGCCCGTAGGCTATCATAGAGCCCAGGGGGGAGAGGAGAGAACGAAAGCATAATTCCTAAACGTGGTCATGAGACATGCCAACAGGCCCCTTGTGTGCAGTGCAGGGCTTTGGTTCAGCATATTGCAGTGGAAGGATGTTCGGAAGTTTATGACTGCTGAATGCAGTAGTTGCCCGTATAGGACCAAGGCATCCCGGTTACATGTTGGGGTGCCGGGGTCGGCAAGAACGACAGGAAGGAATCGGAGTTGCAACAATCAGAACTCACGGTCTGAACAAGCACAGGTCGAACAGCTGCGTGCTTCGGGTGCATGCTGTAAGTTCAAGCCACATATTTGGGATTTTGGACGCGGTTGGGGCAGTGAAGACGCTCGGCCGCGCAAGTTTGAACGAGGTCGGGCCCGGAATTGTGCCAAATTTCTGTCTCGCGTTTTATAGCCTCCCTTCAGCACGTGTGTTGATGATGTGTCCTTGGCAGCAGCAGCCCACAGTGGATCATCCGGGTGTGGACCTGGAGCAGCTCTTGTCAGAAAGTGTTCTTGCTTAGATTTCCCGCCAGCCCACGTGGAGGAAGTGCATTGCCCCTCGCTGCGGCTGTGGTGCGGTTCTGCTTTCGAGCAAAGGGGTGCACAAATCGTCCAAGAAGTCGCCTCATCCACCTTCGTCTCCGACTTGGCCCCCGACTGCAAGGAGAAGGTGCTTTACATGGCCTAGTGCTACCCCTACATGCTCCAAAAGGCAAAGGAATGGATACAATGCAAGGTACCGTGCAGTTGCTGGTACCACTTCTGGCCATAGGCTTTGGCCCCGTGCAGTGACTGGTGGGAACGGGTCGATGTACATTCCGGCCGGATTCCCTGGAAAGCTTCTCCTGCGAGCTTCAGAGAAAGCTCCTGCAGCTGCACGCGGATCAACTTCAGGCGGTGGAAGAAAGCGGAGTGCGAACTTCTGTACTTTAGAAGTGAGCTTGAAACTTCGGACGCAAGATCTTCTGCTCCCCACCCGCCCACCCATGGCGCAGACGGTCATTTTAGCGGGCCGGGTCGATGTACATTCCGGCCGGATTCCCTGCGAGCTTCTCCTGCGAGCTTCAGAGAAAGCTCCTGCAGCTGCATGCGGATCAACTTCAGACGGTGGAAGAAAGTGGAGTGCGAACTTCTGACTAGGTGGCTACCGGTGCGTAGATTGAGAGTATTGATGCCCTGTTCCTACGCATGAGCTTTGGCAAAATCTCGCCCCAGCAACTTCCCAAACGATCCGAGTGCCGCCCATCCCAGGGTGACAATGGGCTGTGCACGTTGTAATTATTAGTCATTAGTAGGCACTGGCAAAAGACCGCGTGGATCGTCCCTTTCCTTCTTGCCTGCGCCGCCATGGCACCAGCTTCCCTCGGACCGCAATCATGGCATTATGTCCCACAGTGATTGCCATTGTGATTTCATGCGATTGCAATTTTCATACCTCGGGCTGCTGGAACGGCTGGGATTCCGTTTGACATTGGAATCCATGCCGGCTGAGTTTGACCACCTGCTCTCGACCGTGAAATTCAGGCGGTATTTAATTCCACCGTTACGTTCAGACCATCGTGGGGTGGTGGACTCTCCCTAATTTGCTGAGTTGCCTGACATTGTAACCTCAACGAGTATGCCACTTTCAACTTGTGCTGGAGGTTCTACATGGTTCTAGGTGAAATCATGCGCTTTATCACAGGATCGACGAGGGAGACGAGCGACTCCTATGTTTACCCTGCTGGACCCTGCTTCTTACACTTGGGGAGCCGTCCAGAACGGCGGCTCTTAACACTGAGCCGGAAACCTCACGCCAGTTCCTTTGAATGGGCTGCTGACGAGCTGCATCACCTGTAAACATGCGTGTCGCCTCAAGACAGAAAGACCCGTAGGGTCAATTTCCGACATCTGCATGTCCCAGACCGACAGATGCGCTCAAGACTTGAAGTATTGCTACGGAAAATCAAGCAATGCTTCGCTGCTGACTGCAGCTGCAGTGCAATAAGAAACCACCTCTGCAAGAAACAAGGATTCAGTGCTCTGGTGTAGCTTGGAGGTGAATGTCGCGAAACGGTGGTGCCTGCTTTGATGCCCAAACAACTTAAACCCTTTCTGTGCATGATAAGCTCGTGCCAGACCTGCAAAACATCAGATTCGTGGGCCTTTCACGATGCAGATGCGCGGAGTTGGAAATCATAGACCCCCGCCAGGATGCATTCAATACATTCTTCAGTGAAACCGGAGCCGGCAAACACGTGCCCCGCTGTGTGATGGTTGCTTGGTTGCGATTAGGGAATCTGGCGACACATGCCGCATGCTGCAAGCAAACAACAGCAAACCATGCTTGGAGACATGCTTTCAAAGGTTGATCTCGAGCCTACGGTCGTGGATGAAGTGCGCACAGGGACGTACCGGCAGCTTTTCCACCCGGAACAGCTCATTTCCGGCAAGGACTTTGGGAGAAATTCAGCATAACGACATGGTGTTTGGTTCATGTTCTGCCCATGATAATGCCACCAACACAACTTCAACATGTTTTTGGCGCAGGAAGATGCAGCGAACAACTTTGCTCGTGGACATTATACGATCGGGAAAGAGATCGTTGATTTGGTTCTTGACCGAATCAGAAAGCTTGCGGACAACTGTGCTTCGGCTGCTTGAGATAGTTTTACGCGTTGCTGATCTAATTCAACCAAACCCTTCCCACACCTTCAGCCATGTATGTCGGAAGACATGAGCAAATTGTCTGCAGGCACCGGACTTCAAGGATTCTGCGTCTACAACGCTTGCGGAGGAGGCACAGGATCCGGCTTGGGTTGCCTCATGCTCGAGCGTCTCTCGGTGGACTACGGGAAGAAGAGCAAGATCTCCTTCACCGTGTGGTGTTGCCCGCAAGTCGCCACCGCTGTTGTAGAGCCCTATAACACTGTCCTGTGCGTGCACTCCCTACTCGAGCACACAGATGTCACCATTATGCAGCTTGGATTCGAGTAGTCAGTGCGACTTCGACAACACGCCATGGATCCATGACTCTTGGTGCAGAATCTCAAAGCCGAGGTACGACAACGAGGCGTTGTACGATATTTGCCGCAGGAATCCTTGGTCTTAATTTGGAACACTTGTTGTAACTGTTGTAACAGCTAGTTTTCCTAAGAAACCATCGAATGCTCAAGCCCTTCTCAGGAACTTGGACATTGAACGCCCCACGTACACCAACCTGAACCGCCTCATTGCCCAGATCATTTCCAGCCTGACAGCATCTTTGCGATTTGATGGAGCCTTGAACGTGGACATCACAGAGTTCCAGACCAATCTGGTGCCGTACCCCCGCATCCATTTCATGCTGACCTCGTACGCGCCGGTCATCTCCGCGGAGAAGGCCTACCATGAGCAGCTGTCGGTGGCTGAGATCACCATGTCTGTCTTCGAACCAGCCTCCATGATGGTCAAGTGTGATCCCCGCCACTTGGCAGAACAGTAATTAGTACAGTTGCACAGTTGTAAGACAATTCAGACCTTGTTGTGTTTGCACTGAAAGAAACTACCACCTGCATGTTTTACCTTTCGCGAGAGAGCAAACTGCCAAGGTCACGGCAAATACATGGCCTGCTGCATGATGTACCGCGCGGCTCTCAGCAGGGTGCATTGATCAAGGCGACTATGTCATTCTCCGGACGTGTGCAGCACACATTGAGGCGGAGATGTGGTGCCGAAGGATGTCAACGCCGCCGTAGCTACCATCAAGACCAAGCGCACCATTCAGTTTGTCGACTGGTGCCCGACCGGCTTCAAATGCGGCATCAACTACCAGCCGCCTACCGTGGTGCCCGGTGGTGATTTGGCGAAAGTGATGCGTGCCTGCTGCATGTTCCTTGCTTGAGCTTCATTTGTCAGCTTGTCATATCGGGATAACCAAACACCCTTGACTTTAGACTATACAGAGCCCTTCGAGCAGGCTTTAATGCAGCAGCTTGATGTCTTGTGGCTCACGAGGATCTCCAACAGCACTGCTATTGCCGAAGTCTTCTCCCGCATCGACCACAAGTTCGATTTGATGTACTCCAAGCGCGCCTTCGTCCACCACTACGTCGGAGACCTGGGCTGTTCTCAGAAGGCATATCTGCTGCCTAACCGAACGATAGAGTAGTGTTCCTAAACTCTAAACTCCATTTTCAACCCTAAACCCCAAACCTTAAACCCCAAACCCTAAACCCTAAACTCCAAACCCTAAACCCTAAGCAATCTCAGACCCCAAGAGCCCTAGGCCCCAAGCCCCTGAGAGCCCTGGAGAGGGCTCTTTAAGAGAAACCCCAATGTAGCTCTCAGAGTAACCCCAAAAGTGGCTTTGAAAATAGCCCTTAAAAAGTAGCTCTTATGGTAACCCTTAAGATAGCCCCTAAAGTAGCTCTTCTAGCAACCGTTATAAGTAGCTCCTATAGCAGAGCCTTAGAGCACCCATAGTCCCAAAACCCTAAACCCTAAACCCTAAACCCTAAACCCTAAACCCTAAACCCTAAACCCTAACTCGAAACCCTAAACCCTAAGCCCCAAACCCTAAACCCTAAACCCTAAACCCTAAACCCTAGACCCTAAACCCTATATACCCTGAGAGCCCAGGAGAGGGTATGGAGGAAGGCGAGTTCTCTGAGGCCCGCGAAGACCTGGCGGCCCTGGAGAAGGAGATTTTTTTTTTCAGGTTTTGTGCTTGCCTTTGGACTTTTGCAGGGTTAAGGGTTGTGTGTGTGTGTTGTTTTAGTTTGTTTTTGATTTTTTTGTCTCAGGGGTTGCAGGGGTTTCTTTCCGAAGGGTATTTGTTCAGGATTTCGGGAGGTTTGCAGGTTCGAGAATCGGCATTTGGCTTCAAAAGGTAGGGTCTTGAACATTACAAGGGTACCCGGCGATTTACACGGATAAAACATGCCTAAACCGCAAACCCTAAAGCCCTAAACGTATTTGATAGGGCTTTGGGTCAAAAGTTCCACATCGTGGCGGATGCTTAGGGTTTCTGGCCGGTCTACGGTTTTGGGTTTTGGGGTTTCGGGTCTAGGTAACAGATTCAGGAAGTAAAATCCTTTGACCATGAGATAGATTGAGGGCTGAACCGTGGGTTCTGCAGTTCAGGGTTTCGGGTTTAGGGCGAAGACATATTCGGCCAAGGGATGGTTCAGGGTGTACGACGTAGGCTACTGCGCAAAGCATTTTTGCAATGCTTCTGTTGCCGCCTGTCATCTTTGTGTTCCACCTGCTTCATCTGGATTTTGTGACTTTGGCTTGTCGATTGACCTACATTTTGCTTGATGGTTCTTAGCGCATGGGTAAGTGGGGCCGTGGTAGTGGTAGCGGTTGAAGGGCCTCATGCTGCGATTGGGGATCAGGGTCAACGTGGCATGCAGCATCTCCACAGGCGCGTGCAGATAAACTGCATCGCAATCCAGAATATCTTCCGTTGCACGACTCTTTGTTCACTTCGACTTAACTGAATGAGATGAACTGCAGGACTACGAGGAGGTTGGCATCGAAACTGCGGAAGGCACCGGGTTAAACGGCACAAGGAGCGTGATTGGTTTAGGGGTGGGTTTAAAAAAAACATGGTTCAAGATGTCTTCTAGCTCGCATAGGGGGTTGCGTGACCTTCGGGGTTCAAGTCGTGGCCCGAAGATAGGTGCATCTTGTTGCTTAGGGTCAGCGTGTTCTTGCGTGCGATTGGGGTTCAGCTTTTTTGGGTTTATGTGGGATAGCCTCTAATTGTCTAATTGACAACCCCAAGCTCAGAACCGCCCTAATCCTAACTCCTAGATGAGCAGAAGAGGGTCAGGGCCAGTGTTCCGGGTTTAGACGGTCGGAGTTCAGGGCTTCTGCAATCTCAAAAAGTAGTTGGTTTTGGGGGTTGCGGTTTAGGGGTTATGGTTTAGGGTTTAGGGTTGATGGTTGGTAAAACCCTTGCTACTCAAAAGCTGGAGCAGGGGTATAGCAAGAAACGCCTGGCATTTGGTTATTGAACTGCAGCACCCACTGGTTCGTACAATCCCACAACCTTATCTCTTTCAGACACCAAGGCATGACAATGTGTGTGTAGTCTTTCAGCGCGGGGGTAGCTTTTTGACTGTTACTGGGTTCCTGGCTGTATCATAGACGAAATTTAGGGTCAGGCGGCGGCTTCCAAACTGCACAGCCGCGCAGGTGAGGGTGAAGAGGAAGGCTACGGCGATGAGTTCTGAGATCGTCCTTGCCAGTGTAGCACGAGAGCGCAGCCTGCAATGTCTAGCATTTTCAGTTCGAGGTTTGTGGGCGAAGGAGGACTGTGGTTGCATCTCGTGCAATGCATGGGTGCGTCGCGTGCAAGTGACGGGTGAAATGATCCCTGTTGCTGCATGCGATGCTTGCGATGGCTTCGCCGACCCGGTTCGGCCTGACCCGAATCCGCGGAGCTTCGAGCGAAAATTGGCAGGCTGCCTGGTCTGTTATCAGGTCTTCCAAAGGGTAAACGTTCTCATTACACCAAAAGCTTGACAACACTGCTGCTGCTGCTGCTGCTGCTGCTGCTGCTGCTGCTCCTGCTACGTACTGCTGCTACCAATAATTCTGTTGCTGCTGCTGCCGATCCTCTTCCTCCGACTTCATAACAACAATCAAAATAACACGAATCACGGCGCGAAAAAAAACGAGGATAGCCATTCTAACACTATTTGGATCTCAAGAACCATCAAAACCTTAAAAACTGGATCCTCAACTCCAGACCAGCCCAACCCAAAATTCTAAAACCTCAACCTCATCATGGCCCTTTATAGTGCCCCTTAGAGTCACCCAGAAGGTTTTTATAGGACTCCATAGGGTTGTAGGGTTCCCGTAATCAATTCACACGATGAGTTCATCCCAAACCCCTGTTCTAATTATAAAGGCCCCTGTGCTAATATAGGGCCGTAGTGGCCTCCTTTAGTAATGGAGAAGGCATTACGGCATAGCTCCAGTCATATCATCATTAATACTGCAGTCCTGTACACTGGCGCTAGAAGCTTAGGTCAGCGAACGTTTGGGCCAAGGTTCAGGGTTTCGGGTGGTGGGAATTTTGTGGCTTAGGGCTTGCAGGGTGGAAGGTTCATGACGGGCCAGGGTTGCAGGATTTCCGGGCGGGGTTTAGGGTTTGGGGCTGAGCATCGAAAGACCTCGGCGGTCGTAGCTTCAGTTTTGATGTGCATCAGAGGATTTAAGGACTCGATGTTTGGGTCTTACACTGGCGGGTGCGCTTTAATGCCATCTTGGCTTCATCTGGAGGCCCGAAGGATTCACTGGAGTCGGAATAATTAATTAGTCATTAGTGGTAGTATTTCCTTGCTTTAGTCCCTCATGTAGCTGCAGTGTCAGATACCCCAAAGCCTTAGTTTGGTTCATGCCCCTTTAAAAAAATGTGGCAGGTCCTATTCGGTTTAGGGTTTAGGATTTAGGGTTTTGTTGGGCTAGAAAAGGACCTTCAACCACTGGATGTCCTTCATTTGCTTGATGAGCGAACGCATAAAACCAAGCTGCCCTTCCACTGGCCGCTCGAGTAGCCCTTTAAGCAGCCCTTCTACATAGTACGTTGTAGTTACAAATTTCCCTCACAGTCTCCAAGTAGCCCTTGCCTTAGTAATGCTTTGAATTCAGTATTTCTTATGCCACTTATGCCCCAAAACCTAAACCCTAGACGCTAAACACTAAACCCCTAAACCCTAAGCCCTTACATACACCCTCAAAGCCCTGAGCCCTAAGCCCCCAGCCTTTTTCGATCGCTCCAGGAGAAGCCTGGGTTAACCCCAGCGGACCGCCAGAAGGAGTTGAATGATCTGTTGAAGGACTCCTTCCAACTATAAAATCGCATAGCATTGGGTTTAGGGTTTAGATTTTAAGGTTTAGGACATAGCATAGCACAATATTATACAGAATACCATGGCAGAACGTAACATGACAGTCTACAGCAGAGTATCTACCAGAACGGGGTTTTGCATTTCTTGGGTGAATGCCTAGGCTCTAGGGTTCGATGAGGCATACAAGTCCCTAGAGTTCTTGAGTATAAGCTATGCTACAGTACACACCCAAACCCAAGACTCACTTCTAGTACGTGTATACGTAGACTCTAGACTTTAGCCCAAGAAAGCAAGACCCAGAAGCCTAGCCTTCGCCCAAAGCCCTGGGATTCTGGGCCGCAACAGAACTAGCAGCACTGAGAGTTTAGGGTTTAGGGTTTAGGGAGCTGCGATGACAGCCAAGAGAGAAAATGAATAACAGCAGTGAGAAGAGGTACGAATGCTATGGGAAATCGGAAGGGGGCATTCGTAAGAGTAAGCAGACTAGAGCCCTAAAAAAGCACGAAAATAGGCAGCTTCGTGGGAAGAATCCCATAGACCTTACACCCTAAACCCTCAGCCCACGAAGCCTTAACGCCTAATGAACCCTTAAACTCCTCAAACCCTTAAGCCCTACACCCTAAACCCATCAACCCCCAAACCAACCCCCCAAACCCTAAACCCTAAACCCTAAGCCCTAAACCCTAAACCCTAAACCCTAAACCCTAAGCCCAAAGCCCTAAGCCCTAAGCCCGAAGCCCTAAACCATATGAGCCCTGAGCCTCTGGAGCCCCAAACCGGAGGCCCCATCGCGTGCCCCAAGTTTGAACTCCGAACGGATGAGCTCAAAATCTATCAGTCCAGAGAGGTTTGGGGTTCAGCGGTTTAGGGTTCAGGGGTTTAGGGTTCAGGGGTTCAGGGGTTTAGGGTTCAGGGTCCAGGGTTCAGGGTTTAGGGCTTAGGGTTCAGGGTTTAGGGTTCAGGGGTTTAGGGTTTAGGGTTCAGGGGTTTAGGGTTCAGGGTTTACGGGATTTA